ATGGTGGCCATTTAGAAGTCGGCCATCTTGGATACAACTTTTGTTTTTTCAATATGAAGAGGGCCATGTGACACATCAAACTTATTGGTAATGTCTGGTAATGTGCCGCAAAACGGTTTGCGGCACAATTTGCATAGTACAGTTTTCTAAAAAAAAAAAAAAGAGAATAATGTATATCGTTTCAGTTTATTTTGAGAAGTCTCAACAGGATCTTTAGCTTTATTGTGAAAGGTTTATGTAGAAAATAAGCAAGCAGATGGTGGAGCCACGCAGTGGTTTTACCGTCGTTGTTGCTAATGAAATTAAGCATAAAAACAGCCGCTCGTCAGTCCATGGTGTGGTTATTTTAAATATAAGTGAAAGAGAGAAATTTAAGAAATTAATATAGCCACTACAGTGACCATCAAAACCATGAAAAAATATTGCTGTAAACATTTTGCGACACCACGAAACCAACAATAGCGTATAATATGAAACAATAGATGTTATAATATCTTCAGCCAATAAATATCATCATATCGAACAGCCCTAGAGTGTAATGAAATTTTTTAACATAAAACATAAAACACTACTCCCCCCCCCCCCATGGGGAGGAGTTGTGTTTTGATTTTAAGTCCAGTGTCATTTAACATAAAGTGGAAAAAACAAACAAACAAAACACATAATTTTCAGCAGAACTGAACAAACTGACGTGCCAAAATCATAACTGTAATCTGTATTCCCCACAGAATTACTTGCACTCTTCAAATATGCCTTTACCCTCATAAAATTAAAAATTGGATTTTTTATTTCTTATTTTTCCTTAATTTGAAAGGTCTGTGAGTTGTTTACCCCAGTGACTGACATCATACTTTACTGTAACAACCGTAGTTAGTTCACCTACTTCCTGCATTGAAAGGTTGTATGGTTGTCACATCTGATGAAGATGTGATGGGTGTCAAACCACAAAAGAATTACCCGTTAAACAACAATCCACACAAAGCATCCAAAATTATCTGATGTCAGATAACATTCTTTCAGTTTCTGTTGATAAGTTGTCTCGTTGTCTGTCTCAGTTGTAGCCTTTTGTAAAGAACAACGCACCTTCTGACACTGTGGTGTCTAGTGATGACGTGTTTGAGGAGAGATCTCAGTCCTTATCAAATTATTCACATTCTCCGACATCTAAGCATGAGCGTGCTTTTGATTTTACAAAGAAAAAAAGTGACTGATCAGAGCAGATAACAGTTCAGACTTTCCAGAACAAGTTAAGATTGTGTGAGCTCACATCTCATCATTTGCTGATGTGGTGATTTGTGTTGCTTTGTCAGCATAAAATAATTTATCTACATGTCACTTAAATCATTATGATGATAATTAGTATTATTAAAGAACATAGAGCCTTGTTCCTGGATTGTTACCATTAACTAATTTCCTCTCATCTGAAGGTGACAGTTTGGGTTTTCTTCCAGACACACAGTGTCTGCAGTTAGTTTAAGTAAATGAGCAATAGAGACATGCATAAAAAATTTCAAGTTTCAGAAAACACGCTATGAAAACAGTCCGTTTAGAAATGGCTTGTAAATCTACATTTCTCTGACTAATCGCTTCACTGGCTACATCCATACTAATGCGTTTTATTTGAAAACGCATCGTTTTCTCTCCGTTTTGGCCTTCCATCCACACTGAGACCGTGTTTTCCCAAGGAAAAACGCATATATTTCAGAACAGAGCTGTCCCGTAGCAGTGTGGACACTCGAAAACGCAGACTTTCTAAAACGATGACACATTTTATTCATGTGATGCAGTCATGTGACCAATTAAACTAGGATAGCAGAGGGCATTATACTGCAGTTGTTTGGATTGCTCTCAATTTTGACAGCCCTAAAAAAGATTAATATCAATTTGTACATGCTCCAGATAGCTTTTCTTCCAATTCTTTAATTCTCACTCACTTATGCGCATGCGCAGGACTGGAATGTAAGTGTTTTCAGCGGTTTCAATGTGGACGCACAACTCTGTGAAAACAACTGAAAACGCTAGTGTGGACGCAGAGCGTTTTCAGACAAAAACACGAACACAGTGTGGACGTAGCCTGAGCTCCCTGGACATCTCCATTGCTTTTTGGTCAGTGAAATGAGTAGTTCAAACAAATCATTTTCAAGCTGGTAAAAACTATCAGTCATAACCTTCAGCACCACCTACATATGCTTATGAACCTGTTTGGAAAATCCTAAATAAATTCAAACTTCTACAGTCAATTCTTGTATTCTTGTTATTAAATTTCAATAAATCATTAAAAGTCCCATATTATCATGATATTCCTTCCCATGATTAGTCGATGAAAACTTCTGCCTTACTGTGCTCTTAGATGAATTTCTCTACATGAGTAACGTAAGTCAGTTTAATGATATTGTAATAGAAACTTTAAAGGTGAGACTGGGAAGTCAAGGAAGACATTCTGGTCAACAAATTGTATTGAACAAATTATCATCTAGCTAGTTGGACAGTGGATTTGGTCTGTTGCAATAATATCTGTCTTTTACTATAGAAATTGTACATCAGCAGTTTGCAGCTGGAGGTCCTCTGTGCCTTGGCCAAGGTTGTTGTGTGTTTTGCCCTTTTTCTGGCATGAATAGGGAAAATAGATGCAGAAGTGATAAAATAACAATGAGATCAAATTCTAAATAGCAGTGCTTTAAAAATAAAATTAATACACATATTAAAATGCTTTATTACATTTGGTTGAAGCAGCAATTAAAACATTTCTCTTTTTAGTTTTGAAACAAATCTCATTTACTAACAGTTGGTTGACCCAGGACACGTTGGAGAGATTATATCTCTCAGCTGGCCTGGGAATGCCTTGGTGTTCCCCCGGATAAGCTGGAGGAGGTGGCTGGGAAGAGGGAGGTCTGGGCTTCTCTGCTTAGGCTGCTGCCCCCGCGACCCGGCTCCAGATAAAGCGGAAGAAGATGGATGGAAACTAATCTCATTTACTGACAGTTGGTTGAGACATTTGTTCATTATCAGTTATCAGGTACCATCTCAAACTCATGAGCATGAAACATTTCCTCATACCAGAACAGTTTACTACACAGGATGCGGGAAACAGCAAGTAGATAAAAGGAGGAGAGTCAGAGAGGGGCTGTATTTGACGTACAAGTGTCTTTGTGAAGACAGACTAACAGATTGACCATGTCGCTCTCCGCAGTGCTGCTGCTGCTGCTGCATCTGACGGTCTGCAACTCGCAGAATATTGATTTCTTCCG